TGGGTTGTGTAAGGAGTTGGATATGCAGTCTAGGGTGGTTATTCACCAAGATAAACTTATGAAAGATTAAGGAAGTGGAATTGAAGAAGCCAGAAGGAATTTGAGTGGATGTCATCACGCAAAATTCAGGTCACTGGTTCCGAATTGTGCATGATCAGTTGCCCATTGGTTGCAATGTTGCATTAGTGTCCATTCTGAAACAAGAGGGGAGAAACCCATAGAAGGCATAAGGTAAGTAATACATTCTAATAAATGCCCCTTACAACAAACAAGCTATAGCATGTATAAAAGAAGGGGAAGCAGGGGCGGACTGACAACTCATGGGGTCCCCGGGCAATAGGGGATCATGGGGCCCCTGTGTCCTTGCCCAAGCTCAAAAAATTCTATGAAAAAGGTACCAAGGGGATCTCATGGGCCCCCTACTGACCCTGGGCCCTCAGGCAGTGCCTGAGTTTCCAAATGGTCAGTCCGCCCCTGAGTGGAAGTGAAAAAGCAAGTCAGTTCCAGATGAATGACCCCCTGAAGTCCTCTGGAAACTGACATTTCTAGCGAGCAGGGGTGGACTGACCATTTGGAAACTCGGGCACAGCCGAGGGCCCGGGGTCAATAGGGGGCCCCATGAGATGCCCCGGTACCTTTTTCATAGGCTTTTTTGAGTTTGGGCAAGGACACAGGGGCCTCATGATCCCCTATTCCCAGGGGCCCCATGAGTTGTCAGTCCGCCCCTGCTAGCGAGTATCAATCTTCTGGGCCCTCCACAGGTCTCAGTCCAATGGATTTTGGGGCACCATTTTCCTGGGATTGTGTTCAGTGGCACAGGCAATAGGAGAGGTAAGTATTGTATTGACACACTTTTTTGGCAGGGTATGCATTTTTTGTAAACATAAGTGACAAGATTTTTATTTTTTTTTTCTTTCTGACAATGGCTGTTATGCCTCCTATATTTTAGAAATGTAGACTGATGTAGAGAAGGAGCAATTGTAAGGTAAGGTAGTTTTGTATATATTTTCTTTCCTTATTTACTATGATCAGCCTTGAAAAATAAATTTCATAAATGTTTTTCTTACCTTCCTGTGTATGTAAAAAAAACAGCAAAGTGGTGGATGCTTATTTCTGCATTGCTGTTTATAAACTGGCAGCCAGTGTGCCATCTTGGCCAGATGAAGTGTACAGAGTCGATTTAGGCGGCTCTGTACCTTCTGATCCTTGTGATGACACAACTGTTTGTGTTTTCATTGAGAAGCCCTCCCTGTCCTTCAACAATGGAGGTAGAGGAGGAATGAGGAACCAATGAATGAGTCCCTCAATAATTTGTAAAAGTTCACAGGCTGCAGTGAACCTTCAACTGTAGAACATGTTTAACCCTTTCAGCACCCTCCTCTTACATATGTCTCACCTCCATTCTGTCTTTGCAGTGATTTTGGTTAACCTGTCCTGTTTTTTTAAACCTGTTGCCCTTTTTTCCTTTTATTGGTAAAAAAATATAAAAACCCAGTGGTTTTAAAGCCAGAATTAAACTCTTAAAGGTATATTATATTTGCTTGCTTTAAAAATTTTTTTAACACTTCTTTAGTTGCTTCCTGGTGTCTGTCCTAGGCCAAAATGATGCCATGCATCCCAGGAGTCTTCATGGGAATTTTTTTCCATTCACCTGGAGGAGGGGAGAAAGGGTTTTATCATCTATACATGCCCTCCAGGCAGCATGTCTGAGTTAAGTGCAGATGGATTACAGGAAATAAATACTTGAATCATCTTCCCTTGCTCAAGATGGCTGCAACTAGAAATGCTATGGGGGGAGGGGGGGGGGTGGTCAAAGCTATTTCTCAATAAAATAAAGCATGGAGGCATGCATGAATAGGGACTTTGCTTTGAATAATAAAAATTAATTAAATAGAGTTTTGAGCTTGTTGTGCTTAGACACAGTTTGGTTCTGATTTAACCTCCATGACGGTATTCCCGAGTGTAGCTCGGGGTTAACTTTCAGTACCAGAAGAGGTAACCCCGAGCTACACTGAGAAATACACTGCAGCGCTTCTCCAGCTATCCCTGTTTCACTTACCTTGTCCTGCGCTCCCACGATGTCCCTCCTGCAGTGTCCCCGGCCATTTCCTCCGGCCGATGGCGGCATCCGTCTTCCGGGTTCCGTTCCCTGAGAGCGTTGGGACGCACTTGGTGAGAAACGTCCATGGCGTCCAAAAAGCGTCCCTTTAGGTCAAAAAGCGGTTTTAGACCGGCTAGAGAACAGCGATAGTAAATCAGAATACTACTTGCAGAATTGAGTGATTATGATTTGTGGGGGAAATTCATCATCAGACACTGAAAACAATTTTGCGACTTTGCTCAGTGATGTGAGAACTTGGCGCTCTATTTCAAATTTCAGTGTTTTTGGTTTGATTATATTATTGAATTAAATTTTATTATTATATTATTATTTTTTATGATTATTTATTAAATTATAATTTATGATTTTGTGTTTCAAATTTTATCCTACCTGGGATGTTTACTAGACTCTTGTTCGGACAGGATTTCAGTGAGTTTATTCCTAAGAATTACAGGCCTACAATAAAAAAACAACAAATTTCCATTGAAAATAATGAGCACAGAAATATGGACATATCAGACCACTAGGGGCGGGAGGTTAACCTCCCTGGCGGTATGATTATTTCAGATTTTTGGTGCTGAAAGCGGTACCAATTTTTTTGCATGGAAATATGTATTTTTTTTTATTGTAGGCTGTAATTTTTAGGAAAAAACTCACTGAAATGTTGTCTTAGAAACAAGAGTCTAGTAACATCCCGGGTATGATAAAATTTGAAACACAAAAATCATAAATTATAATTTAATAAATAATCATAAAAATAATATAAAAATAATAAAAAATTTATTCAATAATATAATCAAACCAAAAACACTGAAATGTGTCCAATATAGCGCCAAGTTCGCACATCGCTGAGCTCAGTCGCAAAATCGTTTTCAGTTTCTGATGACGAATTTCCCCACGAATCATTATCACTCAATTCTGAAAGTGGTTCTAATTTACTATCGCTGTTTCTCTAGCCGGTCTAAACCGCTTTTGACCTAAAGGGACACTTTTTGGAGACGCCATGGACATTTCTTAGTTTCCAGGCAGAAAGAACAGACAAAATGCAGGCAGGGCGCAGGACAAAGCACTAGGGACAATATGTATGTGAAATAGGTTGAAACAGCAATGTTTTACTGTGTAAAATGTAAAAAAAAAAAAAAAAATGACATTTTTTAAAATTTTTAAATTTCCCGCCGGCCGGGCGGCGCCCGTACGTCCCGACGTCACAGGGACAGGACACAGAAGCCGGATGCCGGCATCGGCCGGAGGAGGAGATGGCCGGGGACGCTGCAGGGGACACATCGTGGGAGCGCAGGGTAAGGTAAGTGAAGAACACTTGCCGGAGCAGTGCCGCATGGTAAATTTTATTCCCCGAGTGTAGCTCGGGGTTACCGCTTTTGGTTACTGAAATGTTACCCCCAGCTACACACGGGAATACCGTCAGGGAGGTTAAACAACCGCTAATAGAAAGCTCTATCTATCCAAAAAAAGATATAAAATTCTTTTTTGGTAGAGTGTTGCATGATAGGCAGGGGTGGACTGACAACTCATGGGGCTCCCGGGCAATAGGGGATCATGGGGCCCCTGTGTCCTTGCCCAAACTCAAAAAAGCCTATGCAAAAGGTACCAGTGGCATCTCATGGGGCCCCCTACTGACCCAGGGCCCTGAATAGGGGATCATAGGACACCTGTGTCCTTGCCAAACTCAAAAAAAGCCTATGAAAAAGGTACCAGGGGCATCTCAGCGCCCGAGTTTCCAAATGGTCAGTCCGCCCCTGATGATAGGGTATTTGTCAGTCAAACTATCACAGCGCTGAAAAATAAGAAAGGGCTTAATGATGAAAGAGTGTTACCAGCTCAAGTACTCAAGTGGTTAAACATTTACTTACCCTGCAATCTCATATAAAAAGTACATGGTGTATCAATAATAAAGTACAGAGAAACTCTTGTGCAATTCATTTTACTTCTCAACAGGATTTTCCAAGTGAATAGTAACTCTGTAAAATGATTAGTAATGCCTGGGTACCTTACATGGTACTAGAACTTTTCCGAGGATAAACTGCCTTCCTTATCTTCGGCCTGCGAGGATTTAAGCCGCGATTATAGAATTGCCAGCTTTTCTTTTGCTCCGGTGGATTCCTTATGAAGGAGCTGCGGCACTTACTGGGTGTACATTTGTAAAGGTTTATGATAATGAAACATGTTATTCTTGAGTGCAATCAACATTTCCTTCCACTTTATGGAAACAGCTGGCGCTTGTATATTCCATTGTAAAGAGATGTTTTCTATTGAATTCATCTCAAAGAAGGTTTTTTTGTGTTCAGCATTTTTGAAGGGTTTCGGAAAATTGTCAGGAGAGACCTCAGACACTTTAGAAAATTGCAAATCTTTTATAACACTAAAGTTATACATACATATACAGATTCAGTTTAGCAGAGCAGAGGTGAGCACGCTGGTAATTAACCAATCAAATAGTAAATTCAAGGTCCATGTTCAAGAAATGGGCAAGAGAGTTCTAAGAGGTGGTGTATTTTGTTTTTTTTTGCTGCCCTAGGCAAGACTAGTGTTGCCACCCCCCCATCTAAATTTGTTGCACGACTTGTAACAATGCACCATAGTCAAATTCACCTTTTAAATCCATGGCCCTAAAGTGCCCACACTTCCATGCACCTTGTACACCCCCCCGAGTGCCTACACTTACTTTGTATATACCCCAGTGCCAGGGGTGGACTGACCATTTGGAAACTCGGGTACTGCCGAGGGCCCGGGGTCAATAGGGGGTCCCATGAGATGCCCCTGGTACCTTTTTCATAGGCTTTTTTGAGTTTGGGCAAGCACACAGGGGCCCCATGATCCCCTATTGCCCGGGGGCCCCATGAGCTGTCAGTCCGCCCCTGCCCAGTGCCCATTAACTGACATTGTGCACCCCCACTGCTTACACTTTTATATAGCCAGGGGTGGACTGACCATTTGGAAACTCGGGTACTGCCCGAGGGCCCAGGGACAGTAGAGGGTCCCATGAGATGCCCCTGGTACCTTTTTCATAGGATTTTTTGAGTTTGGGCAAGGACACAGGGGCCCCACGATCCCCTATTGCCCGGGGGCCCCATGAGCTGTCAGTCCGCCCCTGCCAGTGCCCATTCACAGACATTGTGCACCCGCACTGCTTACACTTTTATATAGCTTGTACATCCCTGCTTCCCCTCTCCAGTGCCCACTCATATACACCTTGTACAGGCCACCTTCTCAGTGCCTATACTAACATACATCTTGTAACCCCCCCCCCCTAGTGCCTGCACTCCCCATGTACTTGGACACCCCCCCCTCCCAGTGCCTACACTCACTTTGTATATCCCCAAGTGTCCATTCACAGGCATCTTGCACCCCCCCCCACCCCCATTGCTTACACTTGTACCTCCTATGCACTCCCATGCACCTTGTACACCACCCCCCTGCCCCAGTGCCTACACTCAGTTTGTATATACCCCCAATGCTCCTTCACAGACATCTTGCACCCCCCCCACTTCCACTGCTTACACTTTCATATACCTTGTACATCCCTGCTTCCCCCTCCAGTGCCCACTCATATACACCTTCTTGCACCCCCCCCCCACTGCTTACACTTGTACCTCCCATGCACCTTGTACACCCCCCACTGTTCATACTCACATATAAGTCCCCAGTCACACTTGATGCGAATTGGCATGCGATTTGCGTGCCATGTGACTTGCAAATCGCATGACAAGTCGCACCCAGGGGCAGAATGACCATCTGGAAACTCGGCACTGCCCGAGGACCCGGGGTCAGTAGGGGGCCCATGAGATGCCCCTGGTACCTTTTTCATAGGCCTTTTTTGTTTGGGCAAGGACACAGGGGCCCCATGATCCCCTATTGCCCGGGGCCCCATGAGTTGTCAGTCCACCCCTGGTTGCACGCTATGGTCTGCAATTACAGTAGTCATATCGGTGCTTTTGCGACTTTGTCAGAGCCACACCGGTTTCTATAGTAGTACATGCACTACTTTTGGTGCAATTTGCATAGACATCTGTGTCATATGTGGTGCCGCTATCTCCACTGCCAATTCTTCTGGGTCCTGTGGTGATCCTCATCCACTGTTGATGTAAATCCTGCACAAGTGCACAGGACTTATCTTGTCCTTGGCACCTAGATGCTGGGAATGAGTTGAGAGTATACACAGCATGGCACATATTCCTTACAGTGTACAGAGAAAGTAAAAATATGAAGGGACTTTTTCTTCTCTATGCAATGCAGGCAGATCACGGCTGGTGGGAAGGGCCAGCTAGAGCAACTCACCTACACATCTGCAAAAAATGCAAAGGGTTTTATTAGGGGCAAGAAAAGCCCTGCAAAAAGAACATTGGTAACATAAATCTTGTCACAGTAAAGCTGGCAATAGATTGATCGAAATTCAACTTTTTTTAGCAGGGACTGTCTGAATTTCAATCCATAGTTGGCCGTGCCTGTTCGAAAAGTTGATTGTGGGGTTGGGTGTGTGGATGGAAAAATCTGGTAATTTTTCCCCCATAAAAAGCACATTAAATAGGTGAAAATCACCAAGTGTGCCCAAAAGCAGTTTTACTGCTACAGGGTGGCCTTCCTGTGCAAAATTACCTTTATATATGTAATTTTTCACTTTTGTCATGGGGGGTGTTTGCGCCGCCGGTGGATTGCTTCTGCTGTGAACACCCACAGCAGACACCGATCTGCTCTGCCTATGTAAACAAATCAGAGTTCTGTTCTGAAAGGGGGGGAGTGAAAGATCATGTGTCCCTGCAAATCTGGGAACATGATCCTTCACTCTCCCTTGTTCAAATATTTTATTAAATTTACAGGGAGGGGTAATATAGATGAGACAAATAAAATATACAATACTCATACAATGAGTTATCCCGGGGATACAGTATTACCAGTAAACCTGAAAAAACTATAATAGGTAAGAACTGGTAGGCAATAGTAGGCGGGAAATATGTGGGGGGGAGAAGACAAGGGAGAGGTGTGCGACTCCGTGGGTAAAAGAAAAAAAAAGGAAAAAAGGGGGAGCTTTAAGAATAGTAGGAGAAAGGTACCAATATAATTGGAAGTACTGGTTACGGGGTGAGGAGAGAGTCATCAAAGTTAGACGGTAGAAAATGTTCTACCCATGGGTCCCAAATCATCCTAAATTTAGAAATGGTATTCAAGACTGTGGCTTCTACTTTAGCATGGATCATAGCCTGGGTTACCTTGTTTCGAACCACCGTAACGTTAAGCGACGGAGATTTCCACAATTTGGCGATGACCTGTATGGCAGCTGTGGTGACCCGTAAGATAAGTTTAAATTGTAGCTTCGTAACGTCGGGGTCGGTCACAGGTTAAGTAACCAGCAAACACAAATGCTCCTGCGCTTGGGGATGGACTCGATGCAGACTGCAACCACATTAAGAATGTCTTGGAACATGCACACCTTGCTGCCCTCAACAGACCGGGGGAATCCAAAATATACTGAACGAGGAAAGAAACAAAGAGAGGGCTCTGAGGAAGAGGCAAGTCCTCGAAACGCGTCAGACTATTGGATGTCTACATTCCCCATTACGGACTGTTACTCAGCGCGGTATTGACCCAGCTGTTCTTTTATGATGTGCCTTGACTTTATTGTTGTTTGTGAGTACAACACCTATTCTATTTCTTATTAAAAATTTGTTGAACATTTGTTATGGTAATGCACTAGGCCTGTGCGCCCTCTCTTTGTTCTCTCTCCTCATACAGGTTAAGTAACGCTGTTAGTGGGCTGGGTTGGAGGGTTTTCGCACTTAATGAGAGTATTTTGAATACTTCCTTCCAGAAGATTCGGACGGTTGGGCACTCCTACCATGTATGGAAGAAAGTGCCCGGGTCTACGCAACCTCTGAAGCATGCTGAAGGATAGTTAGGGGTGTACTTAGCTATTCTTGCTGGTACTAAGTACCAACGGGTCAAGACCTTGTAGTTGGTTCTCCAATGCCACAATATTCTGCGACGACTCCTTGGTGGTAGACCAAATGTGGTCCCAATCCGAGGGGTCAATCTGGTGGCCAGGTCCGATTCCCATTTCTGCGTGTAGGAAGGTAGTGGAGCTGTGGCCGGGGTCGTGAGAAGAGAGTACAGGTACGATAAGAGGCCACGTCTGTGGGGGTCTATATAGCAAGCTTCTTCAAAAGGGGACATGGCTGGTGTTGGATTAGTGACCGTGGTGTAAGGGGCGTAGAAATGTTTCAATTGCAGGTAATGGAATATTTCTGAAGGCGGAAGTGCATGAGTTTCACGTAGTGAGATCCTTCACTCTCCCTAGTAAAAGCACTACCTAGTGTTCCCAAGCACATAGCTAGGCATACAGTTAACCCTTTGATCACCCTATATGCTTAACCCCTTCCCAGACATTGTCATTAGTAGTGTCAGTGCATATTTTTAGCACTGATCACTGTATTAGTATACTGGTTCCCACAAACTGTCAGATAGTAGTATTAACAAAAAAATAGATGAAAAAATTCCAGTATGTGTCCCATAGTTTGTAGACGCTATAACTTGTGTGCAAACAAATCAATAAATGCTTATTTGGATTTTTTTTACCAAAAATATGTAGCAGACTAAATTTTGGCCTAAATTTATGAAGACATTTGATTTTTAAATTTTTTTTTTTTTGTATGTGTTTCATAGCAGAAAATAAACTATATTGTTTTGTTTTCAAAATTGTCTTTCTTTATTTGTTGATAACGCAAAAAGTAAAAAAAAACGCACAGGTGATCAAATGTCACCAAAAGAAAACTCTATTTGTGGGGAAAAAAAGACATAAAGTTAATATACAGCGTTGCATGACAGAGCAATTATCAGTTAAAGTAACGCAGAGCCGTATCATAAAAAATGGCCTGGTCAGGAAGGGGGGTAAATCTTCTGGAGGTCAAGTTGTTTAAGAAGAACACTAAGCAAGTCTATATTATAGTGTTTAGTCCATCCATATCTACACCGCTGACCTGTGGCAAAATAGACATACAGTCTGCCATTGATGGGGTCAAGAACTCCTGTTGGAGCGCTCACTACCAAATTGAGAGTAAAAGTAAACTCCCCAAAGTGTTCAGGCTGAAGTTTCCTATGGCAGCAAAGTTTCAAGGCAGCCAACACTCAAGATTAGAACCAGGGGCAGACTGACCATTTGGAAATTCGGGCACTGCCCGAGGGCCCAGGGTAAGTAGGGGGCCCCATGAGATGCCCCTGGTACCTTTTTCATAGGCTTTTTTGAGTTTGGGCAAGGACACAGGGGCCCCATGATCCCCTATTGCCTGGGGGCCCCATGCATTGTCAGTCCGCCCCTGATTAGAACAAATACAGATGGTCACAAAACCTCTTGCCGCTCATGCTGTGTAGGTGCCTTTGGGTCAGCTGTGCATTCCCCAGAGGCCAGGTGACAAGCACTGTCCGACCCAAAGAAATAGTCCCCCCCCAAGGTTCCTCTGCTATATACAGGGGCGGACTGACAACTCATAGGGCCCCCAGGCAATAGGGGATCATGGGGCCCCTGTGTCCTTGCCCAAACTCAAAAAAGCCTATGAAAAAGGTACCAGGGGCATCTAATGGGGCCCCCTACCGACCCTGGGCCCTCGGGCGGTGCCCGAGTTTCTTAATGGTCAGTCCGCCCCTGGCTATATACATTGCACTCTCCCCTGAATCAGTCTGTCTTGTTCTCCCTTCATAGCCTCTTAGTCCTCTCTTCTCTCTCTAGTGCAGGCTCGTCTCCCTTGCTTGAACAAGTGATCGGGGTGAACGTCCAGCCTGAAGAAGACAGCCAATCCCAGTCCAGCTCTTCTCTGGTCTCCAGCAAACTGGCCACCTCCTGTAGTGAGGTCACTTTCTTCCTAGCACTGATGGGTAAACCTAAAAGTCCTATCAGGGCAACACTAGGTGATGCTGGATGTCCTCCAGCCAGTAAATAAGATGGACTCTCTCTGCATGTTGTGATGAACACTATGAGGGGCTCACAGTGTGCAATGAAATCAGACTAAGCATTTTCAGTACAGGAGAGGAGCCTCTACAACTGTGCAAGACTGAGCCATGGCTGGAGTACAACAACTTTAAGGGGCTATCTAGGCCTGAAGTTTTGTGTGCTGCCATAAACAATGTTCTCAACTAATAATACTGCAAAATCTTTTAGTTTAAATGTCTTTAATTCTATGTGATTTCAAAGAATAAATAAACATATTTTATTCTATTTTTGATGAATGATCCACTTTAGCATAATTATTTTTTGAATGAAACAGAACACTGTTAGGGAGCCATTTGGATGCTTACCATGAAATATAAACTGTGGGTGGCAAAAAAAAAAAAAAAAAACTGTCTTCCTGAGGCATGGTAATGCATAGATAATTTGTAACTAAGCCCAGCTACTCTATTTTTATAGATATTTTAAAGCATACTCAGTTCATAATCATTTCTTTAAAATATACATAACAGTTGAGGTATTGCGGTTTCCTTGGAAACAAGCCTTTTTTTTTTCTTGTCACTTTATATTGATATAAACAGCTTGTCATTTGTTGTTTTTCCTTTTTTTTTTTTAATTGAGCTTGCTTATATAAATGTTCCTATTTAAGTATTTTAAAGTGCATAAGGGATATTGATTTTTAAAACATATTAAATAAGATTGTATTAAAACTAAAAAAAAAATATATATATATATATATATATATATATATATATATATATATATATATATATATATATATTAATTTTTTTAAACAACTTTCCCCTGCTTCCGACTTCAGATACTTTTTCAACATTCCACTCTCAAAATATAAAATGTCTATGAGGCGTGGAGCAGCTGCCCTTCCAGTCCCTCCCGTTGTCCTGGATTTCTCCCTAACACTTCATCTCCTAAACTTGCCAAATTAGAAATCACTCTTCATTGCAAAATCCTCCACACCACCCTTAAAGCCAAAATGGATCAAGTCAATACAACAAAAAGAGAAGGGCGAAAAAATTATGTGCAGTACATTATTTATTTTTTATTTTTTTATTTCAGGTACTTATATAGAGCCATCAATTTACACAGCACTTTATATATATATATTGTACATTCACATCGGTCATTAAAGCCATTTATGAGACTTCCGGTTCCGGCGCTGATGCTGTGAGGAGGTGAGACCCGCGGCTCCCGGGATCCCCGCATATAAAGCTGGCATTCTGCGCAGGGGACTCCTGTCAGCTGCTTCAGGAGCTCCCCACTGGCCCCCCCGCACGATCCTCGGTCCCTCCGGCATGGAGCGATTCCTCCTGCCGAATCCGCAGGGCTCAGGTCCCACCATGAGGGGAGAGGGATGCGGCTCTCCCCCTCCTGCAGCCAAGATGGCCGCCGCCCATAGTATCTCAATGGACACAGGCACAGAGGCTGTTACACACGCTAGTGCAGATGTACACACCCTCCCTGCACACAGTGATAATGTTATACCAGCCCTGACCTCTACTCCTGGCACCTGTAGTTCCACAGAAATATATGACAAGATTGCACAAGCAGTCGCTGCCATTCTACTGCCCACAATCACACAAGCCGTGGATCATGCAATGGCCACAGGCATTGAACAGATCAGAAAAGACATAGGTGATCATAGTAAACGTTTAACTGAAGTGGAACAGCGTCTGTCAGATTTGGAGGACGATGTTCACTCGCTGCGCTCAGGTGCACTTCAAACCAATCGTACGCACCAATCCATCCTAGACAAGCTGGATGATTTAGAAAATCGCTCACGCAGAAATAATCTGCGCATAGTGGGCCTTCCAGAATCATTTTCAACCGGGGTGCTTCCAGAATTATGTTCCACACGTATACCCTCAGCTCTAGGTCTAACCACTTTGTGTCAGGTCGAGAGAGCTCATCGCCTGGGGCCGCCTTCGAATGACCGCCGTACACCGCGATCGGTGATAGTCAAGTATCTCAACTACGCTGATCGAGTGGCTATTCTTAATTCTTTCCGCAATTCTCGATCCCTACAAGTAGACGGTCACAAATTACTCCTATTTGCCGATTACTCGCAAGAAGTATCCCGCAAACGTAAGGCCTTTCAGGAAATATGTGCCACGCTCCACCAAAGGGGCTACAAATTCACCCTGGCTTATCCGGCTACTCTCCGCTTTACTACACCTTCGGGTGATACAAAGTCTTTCATCCACCCTGAAGAAGCCGCTCAATATCTACAAGATTCTTTGATGGCTACGGATGGTGTGCCGTCTCCTCACCCTCGCAACTCAGGCCCTAGAGATCAGCGAAGCCCTCGCAAAGATCCACCGAAACGCCCACGTACTAACTTTGCTCCCTCTAAATCTCGCCAATCCTGAGCTGGTGCACTCTCTCAGGCGCTATACAGTTTACTCCACGAATTGGACCACCTGCCTTGTTTAACTGAATTTAAGTTTCTTGTGCCTTTAGCTATCATCTTCAGTCCACCGATAGCTATACCAGTTGTTAGAAAGCAATAATTTAGTTGGTCCTGTAGTACTTTCCTCTCATTTTGCTTGATAGCATATACATGTACTGACTGTGTCATCCCTTCTCTGTGCCTTGCCTCGACCACAGTTCCGCTCTGGTCATTCGATTTGTTGAGCCTCTTCTCCCTATTTGGCGATGCCATTTAGGCAAGGGGGTCATGCTCCCCTGCCCTCTCAACAACTCCAATGAGTCACTGCTGCAGATCACTACTCTGCTATTTCCCGGATACGTTGGTCGCAGTACAGGGACAGCATGCAGATTTATGTGAAGTCCAATACACTGTTATGGTTTTTTGTTTGTTTTGCTCTTCTGATAGGCCCCAGTTGGGCCACCATGTTCCACTCTCTCTCTCCTTTCTTCTGCTCTCCTTCCTTACATTTTTCTGGAGAATCACCCCTTCCTTGGGAGTCGACCATACTTCATCAGAGATTGGGCGGTAATGGGCGGATAGCTGGCTCCACCCTACAAAACTGTAAGTCCACTACCTTTGTATTCACCTCATATCATGTGACCTAATGATTCGTATTTATTCTTGGAATGTCAAGGGCTTAAGATCACCTCATAAACGAATGGCTATTCTCCGCCATCTCCGCCGACTTAGAGCAGATGTAGCACTACTCCAAGAAACACATTTAGGCCAATCTGACTTTGTTCGTATGAAGAAACTTTGGGTAGGACACGTTATAGGTTCTCCCTCACTCAATAATAAAGCAGGTGTGCTCATTCTGTTACACAAAAAGCTCGCACCTGACATAATCTCGGTAAACACTGATGAGGCAGGCAGATTGCTAGCGGTACACCTCAAAGTAGGCTCTCAATCATTGGTCCTCACCAATATTTATGCTCCAAACTCACCGTCAAAACAGTTTTTTCAGGACCTGTCATCAAAGCTGTCCGCCTACATACATCTACCTTTAGTAGTCGGAGGGGACTTCAACTCACTTATGAATGCCTATGAAGATAAGTCAAAATCACTAGAACACAATCACCGCCCACTTGCGGAGTCCCAATCAACACTCACATTACTGTCTACATTTGCGGAAGCAATGCAACTAACAGACATTTGGCGTTTAGCCCACCCAGATGGGAAGGAATTCACCTTCTTTTCTCTGGTACACCATTCGCTTTCCAGAATAGACTATTTTTTTTGCAATTCTATTGCTTTGCAATACGCATCTTCCTCAGATATACATGACATAGTTATTTCGGACCATTCTCCCATATCCATAACCCTCAACTATCTCAACAACACACAATCTCACAAAACGTGGCGCTTTCCTTCTTTCTTAGCAAATAACCAGGAGGTGTTACGTCAACTCCAAAATACTTGGGCAGACTTCCAGATCACCAATGCAGCTCACTTATCCAATCCTAACCTATTTTGGGAAACAGGAAAGGTGGTTTTACATGGTAAAATCATCGCCTTTACATCTGCATATAAGAAAAAGGTCGCTCTAAAATACACAGAAGCTAGTAACCGACTCCGGCAGACGCAAAAAAAATTTGGCTGACTCCAACACACATGAACACAGGAAAGCTTGGCTAGAGGCAAAACACCAATTCAAAACATGGGCAACAGCACAAGAATCCATGCACCAATCACATCTCGACTTACAGTATCATAAATTTGGCAACAAGCCAGGCAGACTCTGGCTCGCTTGTGCCGTAAACCGTTTACTCCTACACAATTCACCTCCCTCAAAGACTCTCAAGGGTATATTGAAACACTCCCCTGAAGAAATTGTTTCCATATTGGAAAGTTTCTACACTAAACTATATGGCCCCGACCCTATTGACCAATCAAAGGCTTTGTCTTTTC